CTCTTAGCAGTCCCTTGTCTGTCTTCCTGTCTGGGTCGATCTGCTCTATTCAGCTGGATGCATGTTTTGGCGCAAGCAGAGCCGAGTGGAGTGGCACTTCTGGTACCCACTGGTTGCAGTGGAAACACGAGCATTGAAAAGAGAGGGTTTGATCAGCTCTGGAGTTTGCGGCGCAAACAGAACGCAGAAATGGAATCTGCCTTTTAGAAATGTGTCAACTCAGACAGACAGAGCTCAGAGAAGAACCACCACTCATTTGAGTCAAAAAGAGCAACCTTCGACAGATCAGTCTACTGTTTCGAGTGCCTTTAGGTTTTCCAGGCATGTCCAATGGGCAATGGACCCCAGGGTATGGCCAAAATTGATAAAAGAGTTATTTTTGATATCGTGATGGGTACTAGGGATCCCTGAGGAGGGGCTGGAAAATGTTGTTGGTCTTATATACCTTGCTCAGCATAGTACAACCACAACCCAAGCCCAGACGAGAGGAAGAAAAATAGATCAAATTGATCTCTAAGCATCTTTCCATGAGTATTTTTTTGAGGGAAAGACAATCATAGCCAGAAAATGCAACACTGTGACTAGGTGTGGGAATCACCAGAGGCCCCACGATACGAAATTATTGCGATTTTAAACATTTTGCGATATGCTGATAATATGCGATATAATACATTACGATTTAACTTTTTTAACTGCATATTTTGTCCACAAAACTAAACTAAATCAAGAACTGTTTGGTCAAATAAGAAAACATTCCCAGTCTATTCATCTCACTTTTTATTTCTACAGGGAAGGGAGTCAAACCCTGTAAAAGGCTGCATGAACTTCACAATCTGAACTGTTGGTATTTCAGTCTAATCCAACTTGAACATGATTTCTTTTTCTAAAAATCTTCATACCCCTCCCCAGAGAGTCTATTAAACACTTAATTACACACACACACACACACACACACACACACACACACACACACACACACACACACACACACACACACACACGTAAAACATGAATATACCCCTTTTCTGGCCTGTGCTAACTGTAATTGTCTCGTGTGTTGTATTGTAAGTCTATTGTATCTTGTCTTGCAATAAAATAAAATAAAAATAATAATAATAAAATAAAATATCAATACTTGGCGGCCATGAGACGATATAATATCGCCACAAAATATTGCGATACCATGCTGTATCAATTTTTTCCCCAACCTCTAACTGTCACCGTTTTGCATATGTCAACTTAGGATCTTGACCTTCACTTCGACAATATTAAACCTTTAGGAAATGGATTGATATTACTTTAAATAGTGGCCTGAGTAAATCAAACTGACATGTATGACAGAAAAATGTCTTACATTTGCCTTGTGATGATCACCTGCCGCAGTGTCTAGCCAACCCTCCATCTCATTTAAGGACATGACACAGGCAGACAAGGAGGGAGGAAATGAGGAAGGGGGAGTAAACAGGAGAAGAGGGATGGTTTTCCTGGAAACTATAAACAGCTTCATTCTCTGCCTGACCCCCCCCCCCGAACTCTAATGACAGGATCACTCAATCTAATGCATCCAGACTATAACACACACACACACGCACACAACAACACTGTAAAGATGGACAGCAGCTCTCGTCTGCAGCCTATGAATGGAAGCACGTGTGACCCCTGGCGAGGGTAAAGAGAAAAAATCTACTACCGTATTTTCCGCACTATAAGGCGCACTTAAAAGCCTTTAATTTTCTCAAAAAACGACAGTGCGCCTTATAATCCGGAGCGCCTTATATATGGATCAATTGGTTAATTGGTTGATCCATACTGGTTGTACACGGCGCTCAGCGACACTGACTCGGATAATGACGAGAGGGAGCCGGGCATGTTGGATGCCGTACTCGCCCAACTGTTCAATTCGGACACTGAAGAAGAAGAATTCGAGGGATTCGTGGACGGGGAATGAACTGAAAAGTGAGCTTTACGTGTTATACGGAACTGAACAATGTTGAGTTATGCACTAACGCAGGGGTGCCCAACCTTTTTTGAACCAAGATCTACTTTTAAAGTTACCAGTCTGCCGAGATCTACCAGTCCACATAGTGAGCCATAGCCTTTACCAACAGCCTACAAACGCATTTAATACTCACACAACAAACAGAAAATAATAAATGAGAGTTCTGTAAAAAATAATGCAGACTACAGACTACAGCAGGCTGCTGTGAGATGATTTTGCTTTTGTTAAATTAGCTGCAGACACGGTGAGAGTGAACGGAGTAAAGTCCAACCGACTGTTTGACCGGGTCACGTGTGTTCCCACCTCGGTCCGTACGGATCACGGATCAACTGTGTGCTGTAGCACTAAAAGTAAAAAGTAAAAAGGTTCGTGTGGTGGCTGGCGCTCCAGTGCAAGTGTGTGTGTGTGCGTGTGCGTGTGCGTTTGCGTTTGCGCTGTTTGTTGGTGTGTCTCGTCCCCCGCGATGCTCACAGTCATGACAGCAGAGAGGAGCAGAGAAAAGTAGCTGCAGCTTCATCAAATGCGCTTAATACTCGTAGCATAGTTTCTATACATGACTTTTTGGTAAAACATTTCCCCCCCCGGTTTTACCTGCACGTCCTTGCGCATGCCTGCACTCTCTCTCTTGCTCCCCCGCTCGCTCCCTCGCTCGCTCTCTCATGCATGCAGCAATTTCATGAATAAATGAAAAATTAAATACACACAGGTCAGAAGTATACTTGGGCTCCCAACACAGGTATCGTGTGTGGGAAACAGTGCAATGAGATGAAATTGAAATCACTTTTCTATTTTACAATTGTATTTTATATTGACAAAACATCTCGCGATCGACTGAGAATCAGTCAGCGATCTACCTGTTGATCGCGATCGACTGTTTGGGCACCCCTGCACTAACGTTTGAATTAGCGGTATCAGACTGTGTTTCTTTTTCGTGTTTACAACTGAACAAGGCTGGGAGATATTGTGAATATGCACATTAACGTTTGAACAACGTTGAGTTATTGTGAATGCACTACGTATAAAACTACGGTTTTTTTTTTTAACTACGTTAAGAGAAACGTCAAAGAAATAATTTATTATTTGGGGAAATCGTCTTATGTACTTTTGTTTTTGTAGTTTTATACGTTACATTTTATACGTATTTATATTTATATATTCACAATATCTCCCAGCCTTGTTCAGTTGTAAACACGTTCTATTCTATGCACCTTATAATCCGGTGCGCCCTATATATGAAAACAGTTCTAAAATAGGCCATTCATTGAAGGTGCGCCTTATAATCCGGTGCGCTTTATAGTGCGGAAAATACGGTACATGTTTTTTTTTTTCCATCACCCCCTCTGCTCTCTCACCTTACTTCCCTGCTTTAACATTTTCTGTCGCAGCATGTCAACCTCTTCAGTTTTGCAGCATGACAGAACAATTCTCCATGTTAAAAAAGGAACCTCTTCATCTCTCTGTCAAAGAAAAACTGAGAAATGCATCTGGCTTCTTCTTTGAAAGGAGAACATTTCGATTTTAAGGATGTCTTTCAAGCTCTCGCTCTCTCTCTCTTTAATCTCCTTCCCCTCAGTGTAAGGCGATTTTCTGATGTACTCCAATTGGTCTTGATTAGTAAGAAATTAAACTATAATTAATAAATAAAAATGAGTGTTTTATTTTTATCCCCAAGTAGGACACAGTGTGATATTATCACCAGATTGGGATTTCAGCCACATTGTTTACAGGTAGGAAACACTGGCTTGTGTTCTTCTTGCCTCGAGCAGGATGAAAAATAGCACAGTGAGAGTGGCCTGCTTGTTGATGCAGAAAGCTGACCTGAAAGCACACAGCACAGATTTAGAGGACTAATAAAGCGTCTTTGCGGGCCTGTCACTGCAGTGAAGTCAGCTGGCTGACTGAGGCCGTTAGGCAGGTAGCAGATGTTAGCAACGCTAACAGGTTTAGCAGTCTAATCGGGAGCAGGTGGCAGGAATGCTAACAGGTTCATCAGAATCAGGGAGCAGATGTTTACGATGACAGCTGGCACAGAGCCTGAAAATCTTTGCATCAACAACTAATTTAATCCATGAACAAGACTTTAAGGACCACCGGGGAGATTTTTTAGTGTTTCAAGGTGTCCTAGCACAAATTAAATGTAGCTTTTATTAATGCTGACTGTTTAGAAAGTGCTGTCTTTTATTTTTTACATCATAATATTGTTTTATGTTTTTTATAAGTACCTGCTGCACTGAATTTGTTTAAAACACAGGTTAACAAAGTTCTTGGACAATTGGAAAATCCCAAACTAGCACAATACACCTGATTATCATAAGAAACATCATAAGAACCCAGGCAACATGAACTAAGAAAAGGAAAAGAGATGTGAAATAATGTAAGCAATAAAACAAGATAAAAGCAAATAAAAACAAAGAACAGCAATACAAAGGTAAAAGGGGGAAAAAATGAAAGCGATGAAGGCAGAAATACTTCATGAGAGCAATTTAAAAAAGCAAAGGTCATATAATTAATCAAAGAATAAAACTTGTCAGTTTAAGAAGTTAAAAGAATTACTGAAGGGAAAATAAATCCAACAAGATAAATGAAAGCCACAGAAGCAACAAAAGGAAATGTAAAGATTTTATAAGGTAAATAAAGCACTTCATAGAATTATAAAAAGAAGATAACATTTTCTAAATTCAATGCCTCTGCTTGAAATGCAATGTTAGTCTTCAGTTAGTAGCCAAGTGGTTAGTGCGCACGCCCCACGTACAGATGCTGCTGTCGTCCGAGCTTTACACGATTTAAAAATACTTGCTCAAATAGTTTTGGAAAAACTAAGGGCATGATTCAATAAGAATGACTTGCGACCGCTAAAAGCTCATAACATTATGCATGATTTGCTCCCTCTATCTTCTCCATCTCAATGTCATATTCACAAATCATATAGCATTCATGATATTCAGGCCCAAACACACCCAAAAGGGTTTGGCTGTAGGCCTTAATGTAACAATGATATTACCTTTAGTGCGCCAATGTCTGCAGCAGATCCAGGGTCCACTCCAGTGATGTAGATCCCCAGTCCATACTCAGCACCGCCCCGGATCATCAGGCCGAGAGAGCGACCATCGTCCATATTCAGGTTCACCTACAGGGGGAGACGGGACATTCAGATGTAAACCCAGATAAACACAAATTATTAGTCTAGAAATGTCAAGTGTCATGTTTTAGTACAATTTATGACAATCCACAATTATGGATTCCATTCCTTGTTTTCTGATTAAAATTAAAGCAAACACAGAATACAAAAGTCCTGGCATACACATCCTTACAAGAAGGCCTGAAAATCTGTAAAGGGAAACTAAAGTCTTCAAGGTGAACACAACCACTGAGGACCCAGGGACCCAGGAGGGCACAGCACTTGAGGAAGTAGAAGCATTTTGGACAGTGTCATAGATAAGCAGGGCGGAGCGGAGTAGGATGTCAGAGCAAGAATCAGCAAGACATGGGCTTCATTCATACAACGCTCAGACTCTTCAACTCCAATACCAAATCAATAGTCCTCTATGGTTCAGAGACATGGAGGACTAAAAGGATCACAATAAAAAAAGTAAAAACATATAAACAACTGCCTGAGGGGGATTCTAAATATCCACTGGCCAGATGCCATCAGTAACACGACCTCTGTCAGAGAACAGGTCAAAAACCTGTGGAAGAAGAGATCAGGAACATGGGATGGATAACTGGAAACCCAGTACCAGCTTCACAGCAGGCAGGCCGATGGAACCTCTAAGTCACAAGAAGGAGAGGCCGGCCCAAGATCACCTGGTGCAGGGACCTTGAGACTTTCATCAAATGGGGCAGACTGACATGGAAACAACTGGAAAAGGATGCTCAGGACAGAAAACTCTTGGGGACTGTGGTCAACGGCCTATGCTCCATAAAGGAGCGATAGACACAAGTAAGTATCACAAAGTCATACAGATGGGAATGTAACACTTTTATAGAGATTGTCAATACCTCTTAAATGATTGGAATGAAGTCTTCTCACACAAGATTCATTAAACAGCGAGCTGACATGTTGTAGATCAACTGGTGTATATCTGCCTTTTTATCACTTACACTGATGTTCATGTTCTCTTTATAAGAAGCCAATAAAAAATGGCTACAGTAAAAAACAATTTGTCCTCAGTAGTTGTAACAGCTTCTCAGGCCTCTGTCCAAATAACTCTCCTCCTCCCCTTTTTGCTCACCTTCAGGTCATCCAGGCTCATCCAATTACCCCTCGTTTGTATCCATTTAAATCTGCAGAGCTGTGCAGAGCTGCATTCAGAGGCACAAGCATTAACCACACAGCGCTGCTTATTCAGCAGTTTAGGCGTTGAAGTGCAAAAGGGATATTCGGATGTATCCTACAGCGGCAGAGAAGATATGTTTCCTAGAGACTTGTCTAGAAATGATACAGTTAACTCTTGTTTTAGTCCATCAGAGCAGATCTGGTCTGCCTCAGTGCAGGATACCTGATCCCTGGAGGAAAGAAGACTCAGTAATAGTGTCTGTCTGACGACGTGATTATCAAAAGGACCAGAACAAACTGAATTCTCTGTTGGGAGGATTGATTTTTTTTTTTTCAGGTTCAGAGCATTTCTGGAGCTCTGCATGCCCAATGTTTAACAATTTGAAAATCTTTAGATCCTATTTGCTCCACTGCTGAGTTCTTAAACTTATTTTTCCCAAATGTGATACTCTCACAGTCCTGCAGCAAACTCATTAAAGAAAACTCTCAGTTAGAGCCATCAGAATTAGACTCACACACACAGCTCTAAAAAGATGCTGATGATACAAAAACTGTTCTACACCACATGAAACATCATTAAATTTGGAAAAATACAGACGTGCATTTTAGATTTCATCACTTCATATAAAAAATAACTAAATGCAATGAAATTCTTGGTTTCAGATGTGAAAAATCAGAGTTTAGAAAAAGGAGGTAGTAATATGCACATCATATAGGCACAGAGCAGTGCAAAATCAGCAGACTTCTGGTCAAAAAGTTGTGATCAATGACAACTTGTTGTGGCATTTGAGCAAGTGTGCGGGCCTATCTTCCAAAAACCTGAGTTTCAGCAACTCTTCTCCATTCTTTCAAGGTTTCAACGATTCAACAAGGGAGAGGACCCAGGTGCAGACTAAACATTTCAACAAATGATAACAAAAAAAAATGTGTATGAGCCCCCCCATACCATGAGTTTTGCCAGTAGACATTGCTCCTCTGTAGCGAGAATAAAAATGTCAGACCTGTTTTGCTCTAGGCTGGGGGTGGAGTCCATGGGTGGAGATACCAGGGGAGGGGAGGGGATTTTCATTACCAGAATCCCACTGTGACATCACAAGGAGAGCACATTTGAAATGGAGCATTTTTCTCTGTGTTGTAAGACTTATGCAGACTACAAACAAAGGACTGGATGGGTTTAGGTAGACACTTAGGTTATCCAAATGTATGTTCAAAAACACTGTAAAAGTGGATTTTTCATAATATGTCCCCTTTAACGGATCTAATTTAAGGATATTATGTATTCTTTAAATGTACACGGTTGCCGCCTGTCTTGGCCAGGACACAAAGAGATGTTTAATCCCAAGTTTCTTTCCTAGTTAAATAAAGGTTAAATTAAAAAAAGGTTGGGGTGAAGAATTTATTGAGATATGTCATGATTGAATCAGTCAGTTTAAATATTATCTGGAGGACATGATCTGTATTTTTGACCCAAACACATGTATCACCTTCGTCAGATAATGTTCATTCCAGTGTTCATTTTTCTATTTCTGTTTTAAGATTCCTTTTATTTGCAAGTTCGCCAACAGGTTTTTGTTTTTTTCCAGATGACTCAGATTGAGTAAATCTTCTGTTGGGGCACAGATAGAGTCACAGGCCTTGGGAAGGGGGTGGGGGGAGGGGGGCTTTGTTGTAGGATGAGTCTGTCTGCCAGAATGTCACAGCACGAAAGGTCATGATGACTGTTCTCAGACGGCCATATTTCACTCCTGACCTTACTGCTGATGGACATGAGCAGGAGGATGATTACAGAAATCTCAGTCATCAACATTTCAAAAACCTGCAGAAGTATCTCTTCCTCAAGTGAAAAGCACTCACTTTAAGGTCTGCTGAAAGCTGCACTTGAGTGTCTTTTTTTACAATGCTTCATTCATAATTAATTATATTCTGAACGCCAGCACACACACACACACACACACACACACACACACACACACACACACACACACACACACACACACACACACACACACACACACACACACACACACACACACACACACACACACACACACACACACACACACACACACACACACACACACACACACACTGTTCTTACCGTCCTGTCCTCCATGCCAGGCCCCTGCATCTGGTTAGCTTCATGGTTGTCGGGCGGGGGGGAGACGCTGCGGCCCTGAGGGTCCACCCAGCTGTACACATGGTTGGTGATGTAGCCTCCGGGGATCCGACCCATCGAACACACAGACATGGCCAGCTTTTTGCATCCCTTCAGCACCTGCAGCAGGAGAGGAGGGGGAGATGCTGAAGACATCAAGACCATGACCCCACACAGCATCACTCTCACTATCACGTAAAGACCAAATACAGCAAACAAAAGCAATAAATAAATGCAGATAATAGATGCCCTTCATAAGGATATCAACAATGGCTCAGTGGTGATGTAATTTCTTGAAATGTGGGTCGCCATACATGCAGACAGAATGTCACCTATTTAAACATCGGTGAAGGCTCATAGTAAGCAGTTAAGTATCCAGAATTTCAGTATATAGTAAAGAGTATTGCTTTTGCATTTAGGGGAGAGAGGTTTTTCATACAGAAGAGTTTATCAGACAGACCTTGACACAGATTTCATACAGCACAATCTTCTGGGAATGTGTGGCACAACACTGAAAAGCTTTTTGGTTTAGACTCAAAGTGCTAGTATTGCTTGTATGCCAAGTAAACAAGTGAAATTTGAGGCCTTCGGGGCCACTCCAAGAGACAATCACACTAAAAAATGTATTAAGACCCCCAAACAGTTTCAGGGATAATGTTTTACATTGTGTCTGTCCTCAGTATCTGTGAACTGCAACTAAGCTGTTTCACAAACACACTCCAGAAAATTTCTAGAGAATTTCACAAGGACTAGCCCCTGAAATCCCCCCGATCTTGTTGTTCACACGTGTCATAGTTCATTAAAAACGAAGAAGATGGCCCACATGCTGAGAAGAATAGATAATTTAATTTACAAAAAGTCCAAAAGCCATCTTCAGCACAAGTCCAAACAAAACCCACAAACTATAAGACAAATCACAGGGAGGCACAGGAAAATCCACACTAGGAGCAAACACATGAACATGGGTAAGAAGATGTACAAAATGCCAGTAAGAGGGAAGGAACACTGAGACTAAATAAGCACAGGGGTAATCAGACACAGGTGAAGACAATCAGGGCAATCAAAATGGAGGGAAACCAGACAAAGGGAATAAGTAAGACAAAACAAGAAACACTGGGGACAAGAACTACAACATAAAGCAGGAAACACTAGGAAATAATACAATACAAATATATACTAGGGAAACAAGCAACACTAGGATAGAAAATGACCAAATAAGACCAAATAACAACTAAGCAACTAAACAAGGAATAACAAAACAAGAGTAAACCATGACAACATGAACCTCACAGCTGGAGACTATCCCTGTCTGATAGGAGGAAGTACAGGTGGGACTTCTGTGGGCAAGACATGATTTAAAAAGAACGATGCGGAAGTAGCTTGAAGCAACAGAGTCCACTATACGAAGCTATAATATGAATATTTGCCTTTATATGAATGCTATGTGAAGTTTGACAGAACATACTGGAGAACAGAAAACCAACCCCTCACATTGCTGGAGGTCAATTCTCCTCATATAGGCTATTGTTGTGTTCTCACATCAGCTCGCTCAGACTTTCTGCAGAAATTGAGTTTTTAAGGAGTTTTTACTGGACTGTTTACTCTGTATTTTGTAAAGTTGCCTCCTCTGAACTTTTACTTGCAGCAATCAACAGCAAAAACAAAAAAACAACAAATCCAGACATCATGGCCAGACACCAGAGGACAATTTGAAGAAGCAGTCGATAAAAAGCCAAACAAGAGGATGACAAAAGATGAAAAAAACCGAGAGGAGATGGGAAAAGAAAGTGAGATGACAAAAGGCAATAAAATGCTCATATATGGCGTCAGTATTTCTCCACTATTAGAGCCAGACCAAGACATAATTTAAATCTGATGGGTACAATGTTAAAATCTATTTTAAAACAAACAGGAGCAAATGTAGAGAACCAAGGAGTACGTTGCTGAGCTGCTGCATTCTGACCTAGTTTGAGGCAAGAGAGTTTGTTTCTGTTTATTGCAGAAAGTAGGGAGTTCGAGACTTTAGGAGATGATTTATTAAAGAGTTTTTAAAGGACCATGCAAGAGAGACATTTGGTTTTATTCTGGGGATGTTTTTCATGAAGAGGAACTATTTTGATGTGTGATTTGAAGAAGCCTAAAAGTGACCCCCAATTCCCACATACTCTGTGCGCCCTGGTCCGTCAGCGCTACAGTTTTGCACTGTCGGTGCGCACCCTGACACACTGGATCTGTTTCTGGAACGTGAGTGCAGCGGAGCGCAGCCATGAGTAGCTGTACTCACTTTACAGGAGAACTACAAGATTACGCAAGAATAAAGAAAAGAACGTGCAAACATGTTAATTTGACTTTTTGAGGAAGATTTTTTGTTCGTTTGATGCCTGTTTTGACGCAATTTTGATAGAGTACAATCGCGAGTCCGTATATTGTCTTTGTGTTTTATTTTGAAATTGACCGGACGCTCTGTGCGTTTCCTTGTCTGACTTCCTGTCCCAGCTTGACACATGCCTGCAGTGTGCTCCATCGAAAATAGACTTGCAGCGTATCTGGACCGCGGCACGCACGGAGTATGTGAAAATTGGGGGTGAGTGTCAAACGCCTCTAGATTTTAGCAAATAGCGCACCAAAGCTGCTCCTCATTGAGTTTGCGAAACTGAACAATATGATTTCTAATACTGAGTAAATGGCAGAAAGAATTGTGACATCCAACAGTTGACGTCACTGATTCAGACGTAAGAGTTTATGTGACAACAGCTAGACCTGTAGGGGGTCAAAGGAAGGTATATCTGTGTGTCATCTGCATAGAGGGGAAATATGAATGAATGAAAAGAGACAATATCTTTGCTTATTTTTTGGCTTAGTGGAAGCATTTAGATAAAAAAATTATAGGGACCTGAAATTGAACCTTGTAGTACACGACATCCAATTCAGTTAGTGGAAGGAGAGTGATTGCCTGAGAACCCAGACATGAGGTTTTTAATGAACATTCAAACTGACAAAAAGTAAAAATTTAAGAAAACAAAAATGGATCCAGTCAGCAAGATATGAGGTTTCAGAGGGAAGAATGAATAGACTGCTGGATCCTGACAAACTGTAGACGGCAACATTTAACTATGCAAAGCTTTGTTTTGATAGTGCTGAAATCTTAAGTTTTAAGCTAGCTAGCTAACTTGGGACTTTTTGGTGGAAGTTTTCAAGTAATCACACCTTGCACTCTGCCTCTGTGTTTAAAATATATATATATATATATACTTTAATTCTCATACTTTGATCTTTGTGTTATAAATTTGTCTAACTTTTGGTCCTTGTCTATATTTCTCATGTATGTAAGAATGTAGGAAGGAACCACCAGATTCTGAAAACATCTTGTGTTACTTAGACCTAGATGCGTTTCTTTGGCTTGTGTCACTTTGTCCTCATCGTGAAGAGCATCTGGATTATCTTGTAGACTTTTTGAGCTCTCTTTACAAAATTCTACATTTCTGCAGAATGTTTCAGAGGGAATAACAGAGAGTTCACAGCATAGTGACATTCAACATATGGTAACTCAGGAGACCCAAAAGAGTAAAAGAAATAAAAATAAAGACTAGAATTGGCGCCTTGCGTGTGTATGCAAACCAGTCCATTGTCAGTTTACATCTGTCAGTGTTTCTCACAGATGTGTGACTGAGGCTGGGGCGGAGGATATATTTGTAAAACTTGAAAGAACGCGATGTCCTAAAAACAAGACAACAGCATAAGTAGGCCAACGTTAAAGAGGAGAGATACAAAATTCAAAATAACCACATGCAATAACAAAAAAAACAAACATGTGATCCAATTCCGTTCAGGTGTTGATTAGAGTTTGAGCATGAAAATGATATTAGGTCTTTGACTTTGAACTTCGATCACCAACATTTAGTCAGAAAATCCTTCAGTCCCTGTTGATGATTGTACAAACTGTGGAGAAATTTCCTCCAGGCCTTTTTGAGATGTTGCATTCAACGACTCATTTGACTCGAGCACATAAATATAATGCATCTGACCATGACTTATGCTGGTGCAATAGCATAAAGATATAAATTGAAGTGGCTGCCACTGAATATTGGCATTGGACAACAATGGTGAACCACAACATAATTCAATATTAATAATCCATAAGAGCGCAAGCTGGTCCAGACAAACACACATATTATTTCTGCACCCACAGTCATCTGCCACCAGCTGTTTCTCCTGCAGATCTGACTTTGATTTCTTCTCATTTGACCCAGGGGTGGTACACCAAACAGTGACTGTGAGTAACAATGCCCTCCTGTCTTTAAGCGCAGAAATACTGTGTTGAATCACTGTAGCCTTTCATCATTTCTCCTTCAGTGACTTAATTCTCCTTTCAGCTCTGCTATTTAAACCTCTGAAGCTCCCAGCCCTGCGCATCTGCTGTCACATCATTTAATTGTTTTATGAGAGAGGGACAGAATTAGCCGAGGCTTTCAGGCCACAGCGTTGACTATCGGTGTGACTCACACAGACACCAGAGGAGACACAGCAAAGACAGCAAGACACAGAGACACCAGGGGTCAGGGTCAGGTCGTACAAGTGGGGATTCCTTTCCAGTATATTGTCTTTCCCTTTTCTTTTTTTTTTAAGATGATTTCTTTTGGCTTTTTATGCCTTTATTTGACAGGACAGCTATAGAGAGATAGAAAATGTAGGGAGAGAGAGAACAGGGGACAACATGCACCAAACAGTGTCAGGATAAGGAGTCATAACTGCAACCCAGACTATAGCCACTGTTCATGGTGCACACGCTTCACCAATTGGGTGCGCCTTTCCACTGCTGTTTAAGAAACCTGAAATAAGTCTAATGATCAAAAGAAAATTGATTGAAATGAAACAAAAACCATCGACTGTATAAAACATGGACACAGTCTCAGTGACATCACCAATTGGTTTCAGAGTTTTAAAGCCCAGTAATGGCGGCCGCCATATTGAAAATGTTGTCTCAAACTAACTTTCAGTCAACCAAGTTACAGGCAAAGAGGTGGAGCTGAGTCGAGCCTTAAGCCTCCTGGCAAACAGCTACAACACTCCCACCTGTCAGTCAGATCAGCAAAGTCAAATAAAGTCTAAATCACTTCATCTGACCCTAACAGCTGTTTCAGGCAATACGAATAATTATATGGAAATATCTGAACCTCATGATGATGGTCTTGTTTGCTTGTAGAGTTCACAGAGGCATGAGTACTTCTTAAATTCTGTTTCAAAATCAGCTGAAAACTTATAAGATTTAGCTGTCTAGCTCTGTTAAAGTCAAAGTTTGAGAAGATAAACTAAAACTTTGCTTCCAAAATAATTCAGATGTCGTGTAAAATGTCATTAAAAACAACCTTTGTTAACAAGTCTCAACTATTTTGGAAAATGTTCCTGGCATCAAATTTGAAACGGGAAAATATTTGTCTTGGACAGTGTCAAATAGATATGACATAGAACGTGTCCTGTCTTAAATCTGTCCTGCTCTTGTTTCAAAAAGTCGGAACAGTGTTAACAAAAGATATAACATTTTAACTCAGTTTCAACATATGATATGTTATCTTTGTGCTATTTTCAATTAATCGTGGGGTTTCACTGTTATTGCTGCTTTTATGGAAACATGGTTCTAAAATGAACAATATTTGGAGACCTAAATTTCCACTAAACCTCTTCACCACATGAGTATTCATTTCAATCAACATAAGCCGTGTTAAAGTCAGGTGCCTGATTACCCTCTGACCACTGTGTTATAAAAATGCCTTTAGATGCGGAGTAGATAAGTATAGACAATGTTCAGTGTTTATTTCAGAGGCTTTTTTGTTTTCCGTGGTAAATCTGTCTGATCCAATATCGACACATCACACATCTCCTTTGTCTCCCACACGTTTCAAAACACAGTCTCTCACAAACAAAGGAAGTGGAGGAAGAATCTTTGCACTATTTTTAGTCAGTGAGATGTTT